AAACATGATATACTGAAGATTTTTTTAATCTGTTTGTTTATTAGATATTTTCAAGTCAGGTTTTTTTAACAACTCTTCCAGGCAAGTTAGCACTAGCCTTGGAGGGAGGGACAGAAAAAGATTATGGCTAATAACATGGGTTTGGCCAGTTCTCCATGATCCACCAGCAAATGCGCTGAAGATTAAAGCCCAAAGAAATGCTGAAAAATGGACTCATGTTAACCAGCTTTCAGGGAATCTCTTAAGAAAATTCATACCAACACTATATGTTTCAGCAGGAATTGATGAAGGCGTATGTGCCTTACGTTAGCACTGATAAAGATTATTAACCGCATTCATAAATACTATGCAAAATGTGTGAAGAGCCAGGAAAAATATTGGAAAGATGTTTCTGCTTGGCTCTGTGTGGGAAGTGCCTGTGCAGCTCAGTCTTTTTGCAAAGCACAGAAACTGCTTCTTGTGTGGATTAACTGAGCATTTCCACAGTAGACGTATTATTTTTATTTCTTTGTGGCTTATTTTTTAAATCACTTAGCTTAAATCCATATGATTTTAAGTGTTAGATGATTTCAAAGCAAACTTATTTTGGATAGACAAGACTTGTTTCAGGATTGCAGGATTCCAAAGTGTGTATAGTTAAAAGACTTAGGATTAAGTTACTTTCAGTGTAGCTTATGTTGCTTTAGAAGCATTTTAAACCAAGCTCAAAAAGCCACTGTCAATCTAGAACAGTTGTTGGTACATAAGACTTTACAACAGATGTAACTACCATGATTTAACAACAGCAATACTGGAGACAAAGTCTGGGGTGACATGACCGTGCGCTTTCCACTTAGAGCCAGTGAGCGCTCTTCAAATTTCTGTTTTGTGGACTTTTTTTCCCTCTTTCAGACTAGAGAACCATCCTAGCATGTTGCTAAATATTTTTGTAAGGACATCATGACGAAATACATGCATTAAACTTTGCGATGACACCATCTGTCTGAAAGAACAGGTTAATGAAACCACAGCATTGACAAACAGCGCCTGCAAACTGTACATGTCACTTAACATCACTAAAATTTCCTATGGTACAATAAAATAAACTACAATGATTTCTTGTTTTATTGCTATGGTGCAAGATCTTCTGTCACAATAAACTCAATTTCAAGTTTTAGCTAAAAAAAACCCCCTGTAATAGCCATGTACACATTAGGTGTTCTACAAAATATTTCTATTTGTATTTGTTTGTTATGCATTGTCAACTAAAGCAAAGACAGGACAGACAAGAAATGGAAAAAAAATGCCTTACCCTCATGAAATGAAGAAAAGTTACCCATGGCAAAGAGATGTATAGAGGAAAAGCTGGATGAAAGATGTGTGGAAAAGAAAGTAAAGGCATCACTGAAAACAGGGAAAAAGAAAACAAAAGAAGTGAGGAGGAATGGGGAATGGTTCCTCTTAAATAATATATTCTGAAGGCTAGTTTTCCAATGTTTTTTTTGTAAGGATTGTGGAAAGAAGCAAAGGCATGAACAACAGTGGCAATAGCTGCCATTGTATCTACAATCAGCAGTGATGTTGCTGAACAGGACTTGCTCTTGTCAGTACAGATTGCAAAACTGTAATCAGTGCTGTATTATCATCAAGAAATTTAAATGTCAAGTCACAACTCTGCAGAACATGCTAGTGAAATCAGGCCATGCGCTAACATCTACATAAAAATCGCTTTTTATATATGCAGCTGACAGAATGTTATGCACAGTATTACACATCACCTCAGCCTTGCTCAAGCATTTGTGACTATCCTGATCGGTGAAGTTGGGTGAGAATGTTTTCAAAGGTATTTTTTAAAAGGGTGGGGTTTTCTGGTTAGACAACACTGATCCACTGGTGGAATGTCACTGAGAAAATAAACAGAAAAATGCCGTTTCTGAAACAAGCAATGTTTAACACACTGATCTAGAATAAGGGGCCTAGACAGCATACAAGTTTTGACCCTGTATTCCCCAATTCCCCTCTGAATACTGCTTCTCAGTTGTTGATGGAATTACTGGTTTTGTTGTTGCTGATCACTTGTTTGGTTTCTGGGAGATGGCACGTGGATGTACAGATGGCACCTGTACCATCTCCTCCCTCATCGTAAAGGTTTTGGCCTCATCATGATGAGGGAAAGGAACCAACTTAGAAATCCTTAAAACGCTTTCACAGAATGGAAAACTGCTCTCCATCCAGCTTTAGTATGGTTTGCTTTTATAATCAAAACTGTCTCTCCAGTGCTTTTGTACATCTCCCTGCTTTGAATGAAAAGCAAGAGCTTTAGGCTGGCTATAGGACAGAGAAAGTGACAGCCGTTAGATAGCCAGCTTAACATCGCTGGTGTAGAAAAGCCAGAAGAGTGCTGTAGAGTTCGTTTTCCGTTCATGATTCACCATCAGGACTTAGCGTAAGTGTGGAAGAGGGTGAGGCAACTTGTGACTGACTGCTGCTTTTTCCTCTGGCCTCCCCGAGAGCTCTGAGTGCCCAGGAATGGCATTGGGGCTAATTGCGGAATGAAGAGGAGCCCAGTACCCAGAATGGTCGTACACCCGAGCTGCTGCAAAGGCCATCTACCTTCCATTTTCTTCAAAGGCTACTGCTAAGCCCCACCTCGTCTGTCACATAGGTCCCCTCTAATTCATGGTGTCAGTTTGGATTACTGAAAAGACATCAAACCACTAGACTTAATCAGATCCATTTTGTCTGGAAGGATGAACCTCAGAGAAGCTGAGGCTGTCCTCCCCGCAGTGTATATCAGACTGGGGCAACACCGGTAACACGTGCCACAGTTAAATATTACTATTACCTGGACTCACACTGCCTGATCCGTCGAGTGTTTTGAAATACACTGGGACAACTCCACTCACTCATCCATCATTTTTACTAATAGCTCATTTAGCCACAAGATTTCTCCAACCCATTGTTCTCTTTGTAAAGAAATAAAAAATCTAACACATTTATCATAAATCTTTCCCATTACACTGCCCCATAAACTGTCCTGAACTCCAAATCTCTCCTCATAGTAAAAGACATTAACCCATTGGGAACTGTTTTGGCTTATTAAGTTTTAATTTATTGCTCTACCCCCTCTTAAAAGGCTGTTTATTGCTTTAACAATATTTTACATGAGCCATCAAAAGCCTCCTGAAAATTCGTATCAGTTATGATCTTTGGGTCCACTTTCATTCCAAAATCATCACTTATTTCTTTTTTTCTTCTAACGAGTTGTCTAAGAGGCCAGGATGACATGATTTGCCCTTGGAAATGCCATTCTGGTTTGACCCTATCAAGTTATACTTATCTAAGTATTCACACTATTTTATCCTTGGGCTCAATAGGTTCCCCTTGTTAGTGGTAACAGGAGGTCAACAGCAAACCCCTTTGCAACATGTTGTGTACGTGGTTTGGTTTATGGACTGTTGTTGGCTCCTATTCTCCATTAAAAAAAAAAACAACGGACACCCCCCTCCGCCCAAGTTCTGGAAATGAACAAAAATTATTATAAATTAAATTTCCTACCTTGCCTTTTATAGCATGTTAAAAAACCCCAGAAAAATACAAACCACGGTAAGCTTTTGTCCTGATAGTGATTCCAAGGCAACTAGCACAAGGATTAAAAAGGTTTAATTCCATCGGACCACCACATGCTATCTGCAGTCATAGCTTTCTCTTTCCAGTAAGCAGAAGCTCACATGCTTTGAAGCAAATTTGTAAACATGAGTAACAAACACTAAATGGTAGAATTTGACTGCATTTCCATACCATTCCTTTATATTAATCTTTACAATACAAATGTTCATGCAATTTATCACAAGCTTCCAGCAAATCTGGAAAAGAACATACTACTTGCTTCTCCAGAAGAACGTTACTATCATAAACCATAGCAACAGCAGAAGGTTAAACAAAAGCAGACATATGGATGCTGAAAAGCTCATAAACCCCTGTGAAATCATTTATATGATTTCACACCATATTTTATTGATACTTTGCAATTAAAATCCATCTATAACTTAAAGCTCTGCTTTCAGGTCCGAAGAAAAGGCAGGTTTGGCTGTTGAAAGTAGACTATTTTTCAGAGACGTTTTACTAATAAAGCAGTCCGGGTGGAAACCACCACACCGACGCAGCGTTTAACACCGCCAGCGAAAGGCAGCGAGGCTGCGGGACGCGGGGTACCCGGGTCTGCCTTTTGCAGAGACAGGGCTCTCGCGGCGTAGCTGCGGCTGCGGAGGAGAGCGACGGCGGCAGCTGGCACCGGCCTGCTCCGACGCCGAGGTGGAAGATGGCTGTCGCGGATTTTCCTTACAGCCCCGGAGCCGGAGCACCTTGCTTTCCGAGTGCCACGCACCGCAGCACCCGGCCCCGCAAACACCTCTCCTGCACTGCCAGCTTGGGAAGGAGGGGGGGTGAGAGAAGGAAGAAAAACAACCTATCGGTGCGCCCTTCCAGGTGATTTCCCGATTAAACCGTTTGTGTTGCAGGAAGCCAAATTATTATTTTCAAGAGAAATTTAGACTGCTTTTAATTGGTGTTTGCAGCAAAATTTATTCAAATTGGGTCTGAATTGGGTCCTTTGTATTGCAATGTGTAAAGCTTACTAACTGCACCAAAACCACAATCCTTTGCAGCATTGAAATACAGCAGCACTAATACTACATCTGCTAAACAAGCATGACTTACTATCGTTGGCCTTCTCACTTGTTTCAGATTTTTAAACAGAAATTACAAAAGCCCTCCTATTCAAAATAGCTCACCATTCCATATTTCCTTTTAGAAATTTTTTTTAAACAGAAAACCCCAACAAAACTTTTTTAAGTAAAGCAGAAATGATCCTTTAATCCTGTGGTTAAAATTTGACATGAATGCACTCACATTCATTGCCAAATCCTCAATCTGCCTTTTGGATCGTAACAAAGTCACTAAAAAGCAGGAATTTACACCACAAATTTCTTAGGCAAACTACAAAAAGCACTATAACTTACCGATGTCATTGCTTCTTTCAGAGGAGTCTTTCTCTAGAGTGCCGGATACTGTATTGCCCACTAATTCCACTTTTGGACTATCACTCCTGCATTTGGAGCAAGAAGAGGAGATATTTTATTGGAGTTTTTGTGTGGGTTACAGTAAATTGATAGCTAACTTGCAATTAATAATGAGAGAGCAAAATATTCTTCCTTTGCAGCACCAGAGTAATAGCAATGTGTCAGAGAGAGCAATCTCCAGTAAGTAGACATGCTGTATGGATTAACCTTATCTCATTTCTCCTTAACACCTGTCAAAAAAGCCTATTTTAGACACCGTAGTGTCCTGAATAATTCTTCAGATGTTCACAGCATCTCAACATGAAGGAAACTTAAGGGCAAAGGGACGTTCTTCAACATCTTATTTGTAATTTTTTCTAATTAATTGGCTTGAATAAACTGTAGTGATGGACTATCTGGAATACGACAGAAAGGGAGAGAACCTCAAGCTAGCATCGTACATTTCAGTGGTTCCTAGTATTTACTCATAAATGCAGCTCCTCCACCACGTTTCTGCACGTTGCTTATGACATTAGAGTACGAATATTGTTTCTGTAGGTCCAAAGAACCAAGATCACCTACTCTGTCTGAAATGTCTTTGGAATAGGCAAGTGTCAAGAGTTGTGACACTTTATACAGAGGAACTATTTTTCAGTCAAACAGGAAATCAAACATAAGCAACATGATTATTCTTTCTTCGTAAAACTTTCTATCCCACAACTACTTAAATTTACCAAAATAATCTGACTACTGAAACAATTAATTAAAAAAGACCCAGAGGTAATTGAGTAGCTCGGCATTGCACAGGTCACACAGACAAATCCCTGTGACATTTACTGTGATAACAACTGTTCAATTAATGCAATAAATTGTACTTACCATCATTATCAGGTCACCTGACAAGTATCATAGTTTTTCCACAGTGACTATTCCCAGCGTAGGGCTGTAGCAATTATGATGTACGTAAGGTACCCAAATTATGGGTGAAAACACAGACCTGCCCCTGAAACAACCCAGGCAGATGTGCATTTCTATGAACACTAATAATTAGCCATTGACAGTAAAATACATAGCGAGCTCCTGAATCTCATTGATTTTTTCATTTGACTCTGCTTTTGATGCCATAAGCTGATGACAGATGGCCTGAACCTCAACTCATGGTGGCAGTTTATGAGCAAAACACAAAAGGGCTGGAAACCCTACTTCAGACTTCAGGAAGGCTGTGATAAAGAGCCTGAAAATTTGTGTTAAAAAAATGGAGGAAGTCATAGATTAAGTGAACATACATCCAGTTAAACACTGTAGTAGGGTGACAAGTATTCTACGAACTAAAAAAAATAGACAAACAGTTTATGACCTGAAAAACAAACTAGTCCTACACAGCTATCAATATGGCAGGCAGTCTGCACCAGGAAGGAAACAGAAGAAATTGAACACATTCCTAGAAAAATTTATTAATTGGTGAGATGATAAATAAGGGTATTTTCCAAGTGATCTACCTGATCAATTAGTTTTCTTATCATTTGGTCTTTAACTTTTTAAAAAAATTGCTTCTATATTTGTAAATCTATAAGAAGCAACATAGTTTCTTGGCTGACAGGGCAATGAGCATCTGACTGAGTACTCTGTTTTGCACACATGTATTTCCCAGCAAACTGAGAGCACCATGTGAATTGGAAGTGCTCTAGGAAATGTGTGAGTACAGTTTTGGAGGAGGTTCTTAGGATGGCGTGATTTAGGGCTGAAAGTCACAACATTTATCATTTGACTACAAAAGATACCATGATACATGACAACAATCCCACAAAAAAACCCAACTCTGCTGTCAAAAGAATCAACAGGCTTATTATGCCAATCTATGTCCACGCTGTGAAAGGAGCGGAGCCATCCCTGCTTGGTCTCAGTGTCTCCCTCCCTCTGCATGTACCCATGCAGATAGGCTGTCAGCTTGATCAGACAGATGATCAGCCTGAAAGAAACCCCACACTAATAGAAATCCCACTGCAAACTGATTATTTGCCATCTGGAGCAACTCCCTGACCCATATGGCTGAACGGCTGCACAAATGCTGGTGCTAACATAAGGGAGGCTGCGGGAATGGACTGCCAGGAGAGGGAAACTGCCCCTGTTAGCAGCAGCACGGACGCAGGTTGGTTTAGACTGACTGCAAAAATGCACTTTCTGTAGGTCTTTATGGCTTATCTGCTCCAGAGAATTGACTCGTCTGTAAATCGTATAATCACAGGTACATCTAAATAACCTGTGAAGCCTTTGGAGCAAACTGACAGCTATTCTCTGTCCCACATGGTTTTTGTCTCTCCTATTGCCCTTGAAGCCCTAGCCTGCCTCCAAGGAAGGAGGATTATATTTAAATGGAAAATTAACCATCACCACAAAAAGTCAGTGAGATGCATAAGATGCAAGCCACTTAGAACAGAAAAAAACCCTCTTCTGCTCAGCAGCTGCCACGGAAATCTCACGGGACTCACTTTATAACTACAGCAATTTTTGCCCTAGGATCATGTACTGGTTTTGGCTGGGGTATGGTTAATTTTCTTTATAGCAGCCCGTATAGTGCTATGGTTTGGATTTGTGCTGGAAACAGTGTTGAGAACACAGGGGTGTTTTCGTTATTGCTGAGCAGTGCCTGCACAGTGTCAGGGCATTCTCTGTTTCTCACGCTGCCCCACCAGCGAGGAGGCTGGGGCTGCACAAGACTGACCCAAGGGACATCCCGACCATCTGACAGCGTGCTCGGCAATACGAGCTGGGGGAAGGAGGAGGAAGGGGGCACGTTCAGCATTATGGCATTTGTCTTCACAAGTCACCGTTACACATGATGGAGTCCTGCTTTCCTGGAGATGGCTGAACACCTGCCTGCCGATGGGAAGTGGTGAATGAATTCCTTATTTTGCTTTGCTTGCATGCACAGCTTTTGCTTTATCTGTTTAACTGTCTTTATCTCAGCCCACGAGTTTTGCCACTTTTGACCTTCCCATCCTCACCCCCATCCCACTGTGGGGGAGTGAGCGAGCAGCTGGGGGGGGGTGAGCTGCCCACTGGGGTTAAGCCATGACAGGTCAGCAAAAATTCTGCTGGTTCAATTTTTGTTCTAATTGCCTTAGGTATTCCAGATTCTGGAAATGGATACCAGCAGGTCTTAAAAATATTTACTATCTTATTAAACTGAACTGATTTAAAACCAAAACACCTTTACTGAAGTGACTGCTTCCATTTGAAGTTTCACATTGCTCAATTATTCAAGTAATTCAAAGTCTATTCCATGGATTATTTCATTATGTGCACATTCTGCCCTCTTCCTGTAAGGCACCAATTACAAGTTCAAGCTTACCAGGCAGAATACCTATACAAGATAAATCCATTAATTTGAATTAGCTGATAAAGAAATTCATAGGGAAACTGCTAGCACTGTGATCATCAACATGCATCATCATCACCTTAAAAATCACCTTTCCTTCTAAGTTTTAATCTAACTACTGTTACAAGTAAAATACTTTCAAATATAATGGTATTAGATGAAAAGAACAAAGCATTTTTTTCTGTGCTAGACATAGCAGAGTTTGGACAATTAAGAATGTAACAGGGTTACTGTTTAGATCTGCTTTTTCACTTTGTTAACGTGAAAACTGAAATATCTTTAAAAATGCATGGTTTCTTTATACAATTTTGTACTTCGAAAAAAGGAAAACAGAAGAGCAATAAAACACCCTTCCACAACTCTGAATGTTTAAAATATTTGTCATATGTTTAAAATATTCCAGGCAAAGGATAGGACAAAAGAATAGCTACCCCATCGCATGCCTAGCCAGGGAACTGAACACTAGGGTGTGTATTGGTCTTGCCAAGAAGACATCACTTAGCTAAAGGTCGTAGCAAATACTTGCTTTTCCAAGCACGCCCAAGTGACCAGCAGGTGTGGACTACATTTTGGAACCACTGGGCAAGCCTGTTCAAAGCCAAGAAGTCCAAAAGAATCTGTGGCAGTAGCACCTGGATAGAAGGGTGAGTTCTCAGAGATGCACAGCCAAAGCACTTCAGTAAGATGAAACTGGCAGCACAAGGCAGGCACCGTTTTTCTTACTTTATGTGTCTCAGATTTCACACTGGGAGCATTTGTTTAATGAACCATATGTGGAGGAATGAGGGGAATCAATGTCTAGGATTTCTATTTTATTCCACTATACGCTACACTCCATTCTGGTATTTAATTCACCATTAGTATACTAGAACTCCAGTAGTTCAATGGCAGCTAATTTTTCCAATAGTAAAACAGTACAATTATTTCTATGCCTATATTCTAGTATTTCTGCAAGATGTGCAGCTTGCCCATTTTAGGCAACCGTTTTTTTCTGGTTTTCACCTATTTCTATCCACTATGCATACAGGAAGTCTGCAGTGCACAACCCAGACGCTGATGACTAATGTAGCCACCTCGACTTGATTAGGACTACAGGCGAGGCCTTTAATGTCTGCAACCTCTGCTTTTCCGAGCTCTAGCAGAGATTAAATGGAGTTGTGTTGGCAAGTCCAATTTCTCAGTGCTCCTCAAAGGCTGTAACCACTTCTGATAAAGAGCATCATGTAATTATAGAATAACAACCAACATTAGAGCATAAATAGTTAACAGCAGTATTCTGCGGTGGCAGCAGCTTAAAGAACATTCTATGAAGACACATGTATTCTGCTAAAAATTGATCTAAAATGATCAAAGAAAACAGACTGAAACCAAGCTGACAGTATTTGAAATAGTCTAACAGTGTTCCTCAGTACAATCCAAGCTTTTGCACTGACTTAGTGCCCTGGCTAAGCTGGAATAATTTGAGGTAAACTAAGAAAATCAACATCAGCACAACATACTGATGCGGACATTTCCCACGTATTCTGCAGTGGAAACTATGAAGTTGCAGTAACAGTGTGTTAATCAGTAGAAATGAACTAGTAATGAGTAGCCTAAGACACATTATTCTTGAGAAGATGGTTATGATCCAGCCAGATGACTAGAAGGTCTTTCTTTTTTCTTTTTTTTTTTTATTGTTCTTTAAATATAGTTTACCATGAAATAAATTGTGACATTAACTGTAAAATCTAAATTCTTTAAATGTGTGTTTTTTCCACTAATCCCAAAAGCACTGGACTGAGGAAAACCAATACCTTGTATGAGTCACAGGCACAACTGGTCTTTCTGGTCGTCTCGGGGGCAAGGTACCAGGTCTATTCACAGAGTTGGCTTTGGGTGGCCGAGGTTTCTTCGGAGGTATAGCAGGAACTGAAGGCTTCTGCAAGTCTAACTGTTTTTGCTCTCTCTCTGATCTTTCTTTAAATCAATTATTTCCAGAAAAAAAGAACATGGATATTATTAAGTGGAATTCATTTGCACTCACAAGTCTACAATTAAACAAGAAATCTTCAACTGTAGATACACTGTATACAAAGAAAAAGCTTGTCCCCTTTCCACTTCTGTCCTAAATCATTCTTTATTTGAAATAACATGTTTACCACAAATCAGTTGCTTGCCCTGCCTGAATGTTCTGCCCGTAATTCCTCATGGCTGAAATGTGTGTGCAGTGTCTGAATGGGAATGCTATTTTTTTATTTTAGTAACTTACCCATTTCTGAGTGTAAAAAATAAGACTGGCAAAAAAATACATACCATATGGAACAATTTCCCATGAGCACAACTTATATCAAATTCTAATATGAAACAATATTAAGTTAGAAGGTCACAAAAATAATTATGCTGGATATTCTTAACACCTCTTGAACAAAGAGAGAAATACCATTTCTGGGGAAAAAAAAGTGTGTTTCAAGTGAACTACAGTTAAACGAAAATACAAGCATTAAAATTTAGCTATGTTTGGCAGGATGCAAACCGCTCAGAAAAATCAGACCTTTTATTTAGGTTTTTAAGCACACACTTACATGCTGAATTTTTCAGCTTCACCAATGAAAAACTGGATCATTTGCAGAACTGATTATGCTTGGTTAGGAAGTGCCACAATACTAATATCCAATCCCAAACATGCAATGCCTGTGAGTATGTAAAGTACAATACACATGAACAACTCTTGTAAATAATGTGCTCTAAATTCATAATACAAAACAAACACGTAAACGTGTTTGCTACACCATAGGAAACCCGACTCTTCTTAAAGAAAGGACAAAACTCTGAAAGGGACCAAAGTTTCGCTCTCTGTACCCTGCCATGTCAGCACCCCGCTTCCCTCGACAACACGGTCTGTGATGGGTCACGAATATTACACCTCTGTACACAACTAAGAGGTACTGGGAATGTTACAGGGTACTGCTTAATGGCTTCTAGGTTTCGGCTGAAGAGGGTCATGGAATAAATCAGCAGAACCACAACCCACATTAGGTCTGGAATAGTCCAGTAAGTGACTGTTGTTCACAGGCGTACACCCTTTTCCAGCACACTTTCAGTTGGTGCAATCATTGCGTCCTCTGTAACATGGCAGCTTTTCCAGCGTGTTGTGTAATTTTCACACACTTACTCCTGTGACTATACTGCGTCAGTGTCCAAGAATCTAAACTATGTGTGCGGGATGGGCTAGGCATCGTACCAACATGCAGCCTGAAGAACGCTCCTGTACCGCCCCTGCTGCCGCACCACAGCGAACAATTCCTGCCACTCCCTGGCACTCCGAAACGTAGGCATGACTCCTACGGCCTCTCTTCACCATTTAGAAAAGTTCCAGATATTTATACCCTGGGACAGTAAACTTCCTCCTCCAGTTTGACAATTGGCTTTGTAAATCCAAAAATGGAAAGCAAAGGTGTTTTGTGGTTACCTTTATTGCTAAGGTAACCACAAGACGTAGCGCACATAACCAAAAGTAAACATATGTAGAAAAAAGTGCTAAAACACCTGCCAGATTGCCAGGACGTATATCCAGAAGCAGATCTTGGTGCACAGTCTGAACGTTCTGGCACTAAATTATAACTGCGTATTACACACATCATCGTGTGCACACAAGTCCGAATACTTAGAAGTTAAGAAAACCCATAAACAAACTTGTCTGTACAATCTAATAGTCCACTTAAATGTATGAGACCTGACCCCATCTTAGCTAGAGAATCAATGCAACCATTTTCGCCAAGCTATTCAGAATGCACAATGAACACAATGAAACCATTAAAGGTTTAATTCGCTTGTCACTGCTCTGCGTGGTACTGTGTCCCATTTCTTGCAGTGTTCAAACCTGGTGCTGAAGACAGAATTTTTTCATTTCTCCACAGGCTTGCCTGTGACTTTTGTGACTATGATAATGGGGTGATTCAGAAGCGTTAATGACTGTATCTTCACAAAACCCCTCTGTGATACAGGAAAACCACCAACCTTGCTTTTAACTAGAGAACCAAGGCATATAGATGTTAGGAAAAAGGAACACACTAATCTGGGGTATCTTACTCGATCAAGGACCTGGGTTTTACTGAGCACAGAGCTTTAGACAGCATTTTATGTATTGAGAGCATATCTCCCCTTGACATCAGCTGAGGCTGCTGTGAGTACTTAACAGCCCTGGTACAATTGAATACCCTGAATTTAGTCCAAAAGCAACAATGAGATCCTTTCCAAAATGCATATCATCACAGATCTATCAGAGTGGGAAATAAATATCCAAACAATACACTTAATGAAAACAGAGATTGGGAAATGGGGATGTGCATCGATTCCATTTCTCCTGTGTCTCTGCAGAGAGGAGGCAGGAAAGCACATTTCATACCTTTTTCTTCTGTTCGATTAGGAAGACATTCTGGCCTTTCAGGAGGTACCTTTTTGATTTCATGCTTTCGATCTGTGGTAACTGTCAAAGAAAGGAAAATTTGGAATGCTGAACAAGAAAACAAACCAGCATATACGGGCACATAAGATTTAATTCTGCAATTTCTTAGGCTTTTTAGGTTCTCCAATTTGAAAATGTCTTGCTAAAACTGAACATAAATCTAGTTTCAAGTATTTGCTTACACCATAATGACAAAAAAAGCAATTGGATGTTTATGTTTCCACAGTCAAGTTCATAGTTTCCAAAATGTGCACCTCAAAAGCATAGGCACCTTCAGACCATTCTGTGAAAAAAAATAATATTCAGTAACTACAGATTTTTAAACATGGACAGATCCTTTACCATTGTAGACATACTTAACTGAAGAACAATTCAACAGTGCGGAGAATCATTAGGAATAAATCAATTAATTGGGCATTTCTGCCAAGATACTATTTAATATAGAAGAATACACAGGGCTTATTTTACATAGTTCCCCCCCCCCCCGCCTTTTTTCACCTCTGGTACTAGCTGTTCACTACCACATATTAGAAGGACAAGAATAGTAGCATTGACAGTGTTCTGCATGACTATTTTAACTGACAGCCTTTGGCCTGGAGGTATAAGTCTCTGCTGCCTTCTGCCTCCAGAGTGGAGACCCTGACATACTGACTTCTGTTGCTACAAGGAATATGGGAACTTGTGGCACCAACAACGGGAAGATTTTGCAAAAATTTCCTAGCACATGCAAGATGCAGTCTTCTAGTCCCAGTATTATAAGAAATGCTTTACTGGATATTGGCTTCGCTGCATTGGCTAACTACGAGGTGCTAATGCCATTTCAACTTAGCAGTGTTGAAAACCGCTTTAGGTAACACTTAGTATTTCAATAAAAATTACAGTAGATGACATCCAAGAAAAGCAGAGGAGGCAGGGCAGGGAACACGAGGCAATTTTTTTGCTTCAATCTATTCTATTATATGCAGTTCTCAAGTACATTTACATTTTCTGAATGTGCTGTCACAACTCTCTTCTGCAGCTGGTTCCTAGAAATCAGTACTCATCAGGGCAAATTGCTCATCGGTGGTGATCACTGGCCATTGTTTCTTTATGTAACTGTGCTGTTGGACAGGCAACACTTGTATCACTTCTCATGTCAATAAATAATACTGAATTGCCATTTTATAGTTGGATTCGATGATCTTAAGGGTCTTTTCCAACCTAAATGATTCTACGATTCTGTGAAAAATACTTCATTCCTGAGAGGAGAAACTCTTGCTAGAAACCAATTAAAGCCATTCTAAACACAAGTTATGCAAAGCACAAGTCAACATATTGATTGTCTTGCACATACTAGTGTGTTCAAGAAAAAAAGAGACACAGGTCTGTATACCTGGTTACAGTAAGATTCTAACAGTCATCATTAACACACAAAGGGACATTCTCAGGTCACGTCTAAAACAATGAGCCTGCAAACACGGAGGAGCTCCCCGGCTCAGGTGTACTCCCTACTTGGGCTGTGACCCCCAGATGAATCATTCCCCAGGCATGCACCACGATCCTGCCCCAGCTGCCAGGAGAAGGTCCCCTGCGAGGAAGCTCTGTGAACTCCGTACCAGCTCCCAGAGGGACTCAGAAGAGTATTCCCACCCTCCAGTCTAGACGCAGGTGTACTGCTCATCCCAGCTACCCAGCGAAATGCCTTCTGCTTTGGAATGACTGCGTAGGGGACTCATGCTCCTAACTTTAGTTCTCCACTTTTCACCTTACTTTGTAAAGTAGCCCAGCACAGACGGCCCTTTCAGTCTACTGCCGTGCAGAATTTGGAAATACAGCCAAACTTCCAGCTATAGTATAATACAAACTAGACACCTCCTTTTCATATGCGCTGCTTGTACTACAAAGACCAATTCCAATTCTCTGCTATGATTTTATGCTCTGCATCGGAAGATACTGATCTTTAATTATTTAGCCTGCAACTGACAGTTCTCAATTTATTCATCACACTATGACTGTTTAAATATGCAGAAACATTACTGGAAATTGTTGCCTACTATCAACAGTAAGGCCTGACATGGGGATGCGGTAAAATACAGTGTTATCTCAGTAAAGTGATAATTTGACAAAGTAGAAGATGTCAGGATGGTAATAAACATAGGATGATTTTCACCTCTAAATATCTATCAGAAGAAACTCTTGTGCATCATCAGCCAGCACTTGTCAGGGACTGAGTATGAAAACAAAGAACAGCAATAGCCTTGGCTTTGCCATAGACTTACGTGGCCTTTATCAAATTGTCTGCATCTCTTACGCATCCGTTTTGCCTTCTGAAAATGGGCACGTTATCCTGCTGTGGTGACACAGCTAACGCGTTCGATGCAAACAGGTACAAACATATTAAAAGTATTATTCTCTAATTACAGGAGTATAAATGGAAAGAAACATAACGTTTTATAGAGCTATTCCAAAATGTGTCAGGCTGTAAGGTCGGCTGTCACTAAGCCATATTTAGCATGCAAGCACCACTAGATGGCAAAGTTACACTGTTCGCTCTGGACACTGTTACTCACTGATCTTAAAAACAATCTATGTTTTTAGGAGTCACAAGACAGAGTGAAGAATAAACCATGGCTGTCAGTAAGCAACCCAAATATTTACAGTCATGATTCTGTAGTCAAAAACTGCTTGACAAATTTAAACTAGTTAAATTATAGCCTATTGATTCACAGTAAATTGTACACTGGTGTAACTTGTTCTTCTATTAACACATCAAGACTGCAGGAGAGAGAAATTTACTTTTTAAAGTACTGAAAGCTGGAACAGACCACAGTGACAAGAAAATTAATCTGGCTAGATTGGACGTGTTAGTTTTGTGTTCTTAACGTGTGCCAGCAGTGGGGGAAGTGGTAGTGCTGCTGCAGAATTTTAACAAACTAACTGGAGTTAAGGGATTAAAGAATTCCAGCCATAGTTTTGTTTCCACCACAACTGCAATACAAATGAAAACTCTGAGAGCATCCCATGCCTTGTGATTTGTGATTTTACATGAATGGAACAGGAATCTGGTTTCTGAGGTCAGAACTGTCAAGTGCGTAGATACTTTAACTGTTTCTAAGTTTCACGGAAAAAATAAACCATGCAGGCACTTTTGAAACTCTGTATTGAGAGGTTGTTTCGAAACTACAAATAAAAGTGGTTTCAGCTCTCAGTATTTAGATGCAACTCAGTCTAACATATTCCAAACCCAACTTTACTAGCACTTATCTGTTTGGAAGACATAATCAGCCCCTTCATACATTGCAACACCATTATCTACATAACCAGATTCAGGATAACTCCTGTAAGTTTTATGCTTATGGCTATGAAGTATTGAAAACCAAGAATCTCACTATGGCATAGAACCTAGAGACAGACAGACAGCTCCAGCATTCATGCAGATCTGTAAGATTTAGATTGCAACTCAGATAGGGCCACTGTATTACAGACAAATTCTCTGACACTATTTTATGGCTATGCAAAAAAGCTCTTTATCTCTAGAATAAATCAGATCTGGAGCTGTAAAGTGAATGCAGTTTCCTCCTGCAGATATTATTAGACTCCAACATATTGGGTCTATACTGGAAAGACATGCACACAATCAACTTCAGTCAAGGAATGGAACTGGAGAACTTTTAAAAACTGAAGTATGATGCTCACTCCAAATGAACATGTTCAAGGGGCAAAATACATTATTTTAAAATGGTGCGGATGGTTGCCTGCAATACATTTAAAAAGCACAACACAGTCTTTCAGGGTTATCATCTTCTTGCAATTTGATTCTGATTTATTAGTTGTTGTCTAGATGCCTCCTGCTTATCAATTTTGATACAGTTTTATTCTATATAAATTTGAATACACTTAATTTAGACTGAGATGTGCTCACTGATGTGCTGTACGAAATCAGCTGCACCTCACCTGATCCTTGTTTGATGACAGGAGCTGATGGAGGTGGTGGTTTCTTCGGTCTCTAAAATTTAATAACAGAAGAAAACAGTTTGCTTCAAAATGCCTGTAAATCTCATTCATACAAAAGTTAATCATACATTGCTTAACATTAATAATTATGAAACTTGAGACTACAGATCTGTCACATATTTCCCCTGAAATAACTTCATTAAAAGGAATTTGAAGAGACAAAATAGCATTGACCAAATAAAATTACATTTTTCTACTTCTGCAATTGAAATGTCCTCCTGAGGGGAAAAGTCCAGTTTATGTGGCTTAAGATTAGAGAAATACATGACCTTTGGTTTACTGAAGAAACTGATTTATTTAAAGTTTAATCTTGTAAATATTCCAACTCATTTTGGAAAAAAACAAAGACAAAAAACCATCTCAATGCAGAAAAACCTGGAGTCTGTTTTTTCAGACTCATGAATGGGGCAAAAATGCAGAACACAGGAAATGCTGCAAAAGTTATATTTTATTCGCTCACTGTGACATATTTACAGCTGCAATTGTGAAAGACAGTTATCAGAGTTTTAGATGTTTGGTGAAATGAAATAAATTATTCCAATCAATCTGTGCTTTTTACTTTTACCACCTCTGTTATGACCATTTTCCTAATAGAACTGTAATAGCTGAGAAACATGACCACCAAATCAGTGCCAGAACCATTTCCCTTCACCTGCAGGCTAGGGCAGGAGTGCCTTTTCCTCTGTGTTGATGTGTGTCCCACACACACCATATTGGCATTGACCGTACATATCTTGGAATGAATACAAAAACAAATAGAGCACCATGCCGGATCAAATGACATACCTTAACTCTCACTCTTAAAAAAAAAAAAAAAAAAAATTATTGAGAATAAAGCCTAAGTAAAAATTAATAATTGTTTTCTTCATATGTCCATCCTTTGTTCTGAGCCTTATTTTCTTTGCTACAGATTGATCACAATCCCTGTCACTATATTGCTGGCTATGCAACACTCTGTATTGCCTTGTGGAACTGCCTATAAGATGATGTTTCCAGATATGCATAGCTTTGTCAAACTTCAGCCAAACATTTAAGTTGATATTTTCTATCAAACTCATGTTTAATTTTTTTCCCTATTATTTTCTATATAACTGCCAAACGGCTTACCTCCTTTCAAGAAAGATCAATTGTTTTGCTCACTTGCAGTAATTAGTTCAGCCTCTGCCCTAGAGCTCACAAGTCTTGGTCTGAATGTTGACAGGGAGCAGGTTTGCTGTGAAGGCTGAACCCTTGCCACTCACCCTTCCCAGGGATCTCCCTCAAATCTAGCAAATGTATTCATCTCTGCAGAAAAAAATACCAGTTTTGCCCAGACTGAGTAAGCCTAGCAGCCTAAATCTCTGAAGTTGCCATCCTGCAAGCCTTGGGTTTCTCCTACCACCTGACCCTAACCAGATCACCTCCTGTCACCAACCCGAGAAAGCTGTGGCCAAGAACTCAGAGTGATCTTCTCTAGCCTGACTGCCGTGGGCCATCGTCCATGAACAGCGAGTCCCTTAAACTCTCGGAGACGCTTCTGAGTTTAGGCAACATGGTTCAAGGTCTAAATGCAGAAAAGTGCAGAAAAATGTGGAAAGGGAAGAAGACAGGGACAATAAATTTCTTGTGATAGCAATTGAGGGTTTAGTTGATAATAGCTGCAGAATGAAATAGTTGGTGCTGAGGTTCCAACAGCATAATACACATATTTGGGGCTTTATTCTGGAGTGGTGTGAGCCTGATCCCATTGACTGTCCATAGGTCAGCAGCTGGAATATATGAGGTGCTCTCCTTTAGCACATCTTTTGGTTTAGTTCTCATCTGAAAGGAGTCTAGTTCGTGTCCCCCGAGACCCGCCTTCGAGGCAAACCAAAGCACAGTACGTGCAGATGGACAAACGAGAGATTCACTACAAATCCCACCCCTGATTAAAACTAACACACTAATGCAGATAAACACAAAGGAGAAAGGATCCTAGGGTTCGTTAGACAGAGTGGCTTTAATTGGAAGCTGATGAGGGAAATACTTTGTTCCAGAAAGGCAGACAAAGATCAGAAAGGAGGTAGCGTGCAGGTGCCTTACGACTGCTGAAGGAAACATGGAGAAGGAAGGAGGAATTACAAGGGTCTGTGGCTGGATGAGATAACTGAGAAGGTGATGGAGACAGACTAGAAGTGAAGCCAATGGAAAGGAAACCAGGACTGATTGGACAAGAAGAGAACAAAACTACAGAGCAGGGACAAAGAGTGAGGAGGGAGAGGAAAACAAGCTGGATAAAGAAATAGGGTGTAGGGATAGAAAGTAAATCCAGATGGTGATTTAGACTCAGGTAGTGAGCTCAGGGGAAAATCCTGTAATTGAGACCACCTGAGAGGTGGAGACTGGGACTAGGCAATGAATAGAAAAGGCCTGGGACAAATAGCCATGTGTGGAAAAGGATCAGGATTGGAAAATTGGGGACTGAACAAGGAGATGGGAAAAGATCCCAAGTTTTCGTTCAACAAGCAGAAGAACTACTGCAACAAATACTTTCAGGCCATGGGATGGAATCCAAGGTTTCTGGATCACATCAGAAAATACCTGAAAAAGGCACTGGAAAAGTATCAATTTCCTTCCCTTTTAGCACTGATTCAAGCAAAGACAGACAGTCTGTAGTCCCACCAGTTACTTACTCATGTGGCCATATCCGTGCCATTTTAAAAATTAATAAAATTTTATCCTCCACGTTTACAGCAAACCTAGCTGCAATTTGTATGTGTCTGAATATTTAATTTATTCTACAAGTTATATTCATTGTACTCTAAAGAAAAAAACACACTTAAAGATATACAAGTTCAAAGAGACTGAATAAATTTCACCACAAAAAAAAATGGATAAGAGTAAAGGTGTTTTTCTTCTATAATAGGCTCACTATGTCCTAAGGTTTATGATTTCTGCCTCTTCTGGAAATCACCATTTATTACTAGGCCTAAAGCTAGGATGTCCACTCTACTATGGAATTGCATTTTCATCTCTCACAGTTTTTGCTGCTCTTCTACCTTCATTTTCAATAATTATCATGTTAGCTTCTGTGAGTTGTTTAATAGTTGCTTTATTAAGCTTTCCAAGTTATTTAATTTTTGCCTCCGGCATCCATTTTTATTGCCAAAGATTGAAGCTGAGTGTCGGTAAGTCTCGGTTTTATCACAGAAGGCTTACACTGTCACTGTGAAATACTCATCAAAAGCCTGATTGCAAGCTCATAATACCCCACTGATGACTGAAAAGGTTCCTAAAAATGGAATGTACTTTTGGGGGAAATATTCCATCACTTTATTCCAGGAAGCTGCAGGATTTCTAAACATTGTTTGGCAAATAACTATGCCATCTCTTTCAAATAAATAGAAGCTGAAAAAGCTTTTGCATAGATATTATACCTTCTTTTTTAATAATTCTGACAGAGGTAAAGAAACATGCCTCTGAGATACCAAAAGCTCACTGTTGCCTTTCAAATCTCACAGTTAAAATTTCACCCTTTTCATTCTGGAACACTGCTTGACTGCTGTCAATCAGCATGCAGGTGGTACACTAGCTTTCCATATTCCACCACAAAAACAATGGAGAAGAGGAGTTAACAATTCTGGTCATCATTGCATCACCCGACTCGGCAAACTTCCCTGGGACCTCCCGTTCCTCTCTCTCTCAAACTTAGGACGCAGGACAGAGGGCTTTCAGAGCAACGCAGTGGAGGCAGACTGACTAGATGGGCCAATCAAACCCATCAAAGAAACTCCATAATATGACTTTGAATGCCATACGTTCTCTTTGTGGATGCTCGTTACCCAGAAATTTGTTTCCTTTAACTTTTTTTGTTATTAAGTTAGAAGTAAAACTTTGCCAAAATCACGTATCCAAAAGAGAATTTCTTTCAACTCCACTTTCATTCTGTATTCTAAAGCAAAAATGAAAGAATACATTGCTTACCTCTTTTTCAAAATCAGAAGGAAGAAGCTTGACAAAGTTATCTGGAAACACACCTCGTCTGCCATTGAGTTCTCCTTCCCACCAACCCACATCAATGCAATCCTACAAAATAGTAAAATAAAATGAAAACCACAATGTGCTTGTGTGCTGAGCAGATTTGTGTGCTCAAGTGCTCTTTTGCATAATGTCCTGCCTTTTTACTAGAACATGACAATTTACTGGAGTGCCAGGTTAACAGGGTAATGTACCAGATGAAAACTTCAGTAATCACCCCGCATTACATTATCACATGGAACAGCTAGGAAAGAACAATAAACATACTGTAAGAGCTCAAGAGCTTGTCTGTGTCTAAAGCAAAACACGCTTTCACCATTTGATCTATTAAACCAGTAAGCATTTTGAGCACGTATGATACTGCCTCTCTCTGACCTCATTTTATAGAAAGACAATAACTTAATTAAACATCACACATCCCAGAAGGTAAAAAAGCTCCTTTATTTCCCATACTTTCAAGAAAAGCTTGACACATTAGAATTATTAAATTTCATCACAGACCAATTAAGAAGGCATTATACACCTGATCAAAATCAAGCATCACCTTTTTCTGCATCATTTTTGAGCAGCACAATGCAGAGTGCGTAGCAAAACAATGCACAGCTAAATGCTCACAATAAGTGAACTACTATATCAGTGAGTCTAAATGATGAAAAAAATAGCACAGCTATTTTGGTAATGAATAATAATACTAACAGAAGCCACAAGCAGTTTAGAGAAGGTTAAAATTGTTCCTTAAGTCCTGGATGGTAAGCTCCACGTTCACTTATGTTTGTGTTTGCTGAAGAGAACAATTCCAGTTGAGATTTTCCACGTTCTTCCCTGAAAGCTGTAGCTGAACCAATTCAGCTGTTTTCCAAAACACAATTATGGGAAAGTCACCCATTGTCCGCTCAGTCTTAAAACCATTTCAGCCCATTTTAGCGGTTGGCTCAGCACCAGGCTGGCCAACCTTTCTATCCTCTTGAGCAGTAGCCCTAAATCTTCATGTGGCTCAGAGCCATGCAATAAATATTATACACCTGAGACATGAGGGAAAGGGAAATCCCACAAACAGCGCACGGGTTGGACATGACAAAAACTCCCGAGGGATCCCCCCATTCTAGGAGAGCCAGGGCTAAACAGGGTTGGGTCCACAGCTTGGATCCCACATCTGGCAGCATCAGCCTCAAGCAATCACCGCGGCATCACTGCTCCCACAGCTGCAGGTCTGGACGGAGCAAACCGTCTGCTCCTGCCCGGTATACCCAGCTGTCCTGGCAGCAGAGCCGCCCTGGAACTGCTCAAGAGCTCCACGTGTTGGGTGTTCCTATTCCAACATTTCTAGTCTAACCCTGTGGAAAATCTCCCAGATGTAATGAAGTACTTTTGCTTTTCAAAAAATCACATTTCACCACTGTTCAGAAGAGATAGGTTGAAATTTAGCAGCTGCATTCTCTGAATGCTCGGTGGTACTGATGTAGGTCTAACAGTTCTAACGTGGGGTACGGTCACTGTTCCAGGTCACCCTGCGGTGAGGATTCTCCATCACTCCCTGCTGCAGAAACGGAGTGGTTCCTTCCCTGCAAAGACTTTATCTGGGCTGTGGAAAAAAGCATGATCGTGTACAAAGCTGGCTCATTACAATCACCTGTCTCTTCCTGCTATTCAGTAAAGTGAGAGCGAGCAAAAAAGCTGTGCATTGGAACACCAGAATACAGGGACAAGAGGGAACGAAGGGGTATGGATATAATAAAAGCAGGCAAGAGTGGGCAGGTAGTTTAGGAAAAAGGGGGAGGCCACAACATGCCCTAACAGATTTTCATGGAGAACAAAGCTAGAAAAATCGGACAGAAACAAATGAAATAGGCCAAATACTACGAGCCTCATGTATGTTATGAGGCAGCATCTCTCCAGAAACAGCACTAGATCAAGGGGTCCAGAATCTTAACATTCTTGTGGTGTGAGAAAATAGCTTTAAAAACACCAAGTGGAACTGCATGTCTTAACACCGTTTATCTACACAATTTGGTTGTGAAGGCGTACCTGTTGTACAATACATGTAAAAGCTCTGGGGTTAAAAATGTCACACGCTCAAATCAGTCACTGCTGTTAGCCATGCATATTAGGGGAACAGAATGTTAAATATTCATTAAAAGACAGATCTGGGTGTTGGTTTTTTTTCCAAGATGAGTATCCAAAATGAGCAAAGACTTTAAAACATAGCCACTCTGATCTTAATTTTATCATCTGACTAGGAACAATCATAGCATGCCCTCACAATTTAGAAAAGTTTTGAAGATAAATACTTACAAAGCATCTGCGCACTACAAAAGTACAGAGGGGAAGAAGTAAGAGGAAATGAGTATTTCTTTGTCTAGAAGACATAGACAGTAGTTTGAATAGGGGAGAGGATCCACTGAAAAAAATCTGAATGTGAATGGGCGATGAAAGATTGCATGAGAATACATGCATGCAAAATAGCCTTGTTACATTTCCATGAAATAATTTGTTTCAGCTGCTACAGGGATGACAGAATAATGCAAGTTAACTTAATGAGGTATATTTAATACCAAGAGAAGTCTTAAAAATATTGTTCACAATGACTGTGCTTGCTAGTATTTTTCTGTAACTTATAATGCATGAACACTGGATGATATTTGAGAGAAAACAGACTAGCGTTAAAGAAGATAATTGCTTTTATGTTTTGAGGCTTTTTTTTTTAGTTATTTTTCTGTTCTAGGCTTTTTATTTAGCTTATTTAGTCCACCTAATCTCCTGAAATAGAGTATGCGCTAACTAAACATGCAAGCTAAATAGCCTGGTTTCTTGCATCATGTCTGTTTTGGGTGTTTATTTTTTTTCCCCTCATATGTCAATATTTTACTCTGATGTAGTCTTCTCCTGATCTACAGATGCAGGTACTGAACAATCCTTTCATTCTTTTTCTGGTCGCTTTCTCTCATACTCAATCTGTGATTTTCTCCCACATTGTCCCTTCTCTTCAGCAGGGTGGCCTTCACCAAGGACACTTACCTTTTCTAGACCTTCCCAGCAGTTATTTACCAGTTCTGTTAGACTGTCAGGCCTTTGTCAGTGAACAGGGCTGATTCTTGACTAGCTGATGTTTTCAAAATATCTGCTGAGTGAATACAGGGCTCCACGGAGGACCGAGATAATCAGCTAGTCATGCATAGCACAGGCAGGCACTGTGCAGGACATTACTCTTAGCGCAGAGCCAGCACCCCTCGTTCCCGATGTGAAGGCGCTCTCCCGCCTGGCTCTATCTACTCACGCAGCCTAGTCATCGGTGCACTCAACTGTTCTATCACGTGGTGGGTTTTATAATGCCCTCCACCCCCCAGGCCACTAATCTGAAATTGCCAAAACATTTATAACCCAATTTAGACTTCCAGAAATATTAAGAATAATTCAAGCGTCCAGAGATGAAAAGCTTGTGCTTCAACTGATAGCACAGCTTAGTGCTAGCTAATAATCCTGACTAAACAACACACAACGTCACATATATCCTTTTTAGGTTGGATTTTTTAATGCCCTTAGGAAACACAAATCTTACTCCTACTTCCTCATTTTATTAACACCCATGAATTTTGTATTTGATGCTTTTTTTAAAGCTCCTTTGTTTTCACGAAGATGCTGTTGTGTTAACACGTTCATTAATCCCAAACAGCTGCAGGTTTGCTTTTTTCTCCTCTCCAGCCTGTCACTCAGGCTCACGCAGCCAATCACCACGGCGCACTTTCATACAGTAAGTAAATCTTTAGGCAGCTTCTCTTTAATTTTCTCATTTACTTTATTTGCCAGAGGAGGCTTCTGTGTCACTGAGCAAAAGGACAGAAAGAGATCTCAGGCATTAAAAGCTACAGATGAGATCTGGTGAAGAATCTCCGTGGTGGTGCCCTCCCACTACCCACGAGGTTGCAGGCTCGCTATGTCTCTGCAACCTCTGGAAGCCCACGTACGACGCTGGCAGCGGGTACGTCATCACGAGACAGACCATCACCCAAGGATACCCCAGTTACAGCTGCACAAGCTGCCTCAAGTACTAACAAATGCCAGAGCTGTGAAGCACAAACAAGACGACATGATTAAAACAATGTGGCTGCCTGTGAACATTGAGCAAAAGCTACTCCAATACTTCTAGATGCCCATCAGCCACGCAACCCTAATCATATTGCCTTTTTTAATATATCTTCATGTGTTCAAGGTCAGCAAAATGGCTGTAATTTCAAAATGCAGATTTTCTACAAAAGCTGTCAAGCTATTACAATCAATATTCTAAAATTTATTAACAAACCAAGTGGATCTCTGCTTTATCTCCATGTTATCCTGCCAGGCTCATAACAATGTAAACAGACAAAAATCAGACGCTGAAATATCCCAAAAGTTCTATGAAAAAACACGTATTCCAATTACTAAAAATGCATCTTAGTTTAATTTAAGAAAAAAAAGGAAAACAAAAGATTTACAAAACTGAAAAGTAAGTCACAGCAAAAAAGTAGAAATTGTGTTTGACAGATACTAGAGTTCATGCAAGTTAGGTGGTAGCTGGGCCAACATTTCACTACAGTAAAAATCAGCTCCTACCAAAGCTTGACTCAGAGACTATACCTCTGTACTCATTGCAGTGACAGTGCAATCAAATGCCTTAGAGAAATCCACTGCCAGTTCACATTGCCATGCCTGTTTTCATTGTTCAGGCAGAGAGAAAACAAAAATCTAGAGGGGAATTCTAGCATTTTCTTATTGAAACACAAATCTTGTTTTTATCCTCATTTCCAGTGAAGTAGTTTTGCTCCAAAATCTTGTCTCTGATGAATTTAGTTCAAATGACTTTTTAGACAACAAAGTAAAGGGAAGGAGGAGAGACAAAATGAAAGAAGGGTTGAAAGGCTCTTCTATGGCAGAATCAACATCCATTCTAATTCCAAGCTCAGCAGATCCTAAATAAGTGATAATAAACTCAATACATTGGATTTATTAGCAACATGCATTTTGCGATACGTATCAGGGTAAAGAATTGGACAAAACGTAGTGATGAGAAAGAC